CTTAGGCCTTGGTATTATTGCTTTCTTTTTTTTTTTTTTTTTAATTTTTTATTTTTTTAAATTTTGTTTCAAACCACCTCTCAGAGCTGGAGACCCGAACTCGACTTGGCAGAGGTGCATTCTGGTGGTCCAAGAAGGTCCCCCCAGGTCTCCTTACCTTTTTGCTTCACAGGACACAATGTGAGAAATAAAACTACTCCCTTACAGCTCTTTCACCTGCTCTCGGGGTACCTGAAGAGATGCACGAGCAGGAGCCACACCTGTGTGAGGAAGGGACGATCTCACCTGGGAGTTACTGGGCGTGTCAGCGCTTGCTCAGGGCAAGTTCAACCAACAGGAAGGTTGTGATCCAAAAAAAGCAGCTTGAAAAGTCAACTTCTACGTTTTTCTTTTACTACTGTATTTATTTCCTAACGTGTTTCTGGCACGTGTTATAGAGGTAATAGCAACTGTACCCAAAGAAATAAAAAAAAAATTAAAAAAAAAAAAAAAGAAATTAAAAAAAGAGAGCATGGCATCAGTGGTTTATTTACTGAATTCTGTCGTATCACCAAATGGAAGACAAACGATGGCTAAATTACCTTTTATTTTTTTTTTTCCACTTCTGAAAGTGTGTGATGGCCTCAAGTTGCCTGCATCGACCTATCTGAGTGGAACTGCCATTTTCTACACCTCCCATGGAAAAACTCAGCACTCGTCGACAGCAAAACGCCTCGGTGCTTCGTTTTTATTACAAGGTTCCTTGGAACTCCCCAAATACAAACAGAGCACAGTAACAGATGTTAAGTCAAAAGATTTGCTGTTCCATAAAGGGGGCAGGAGGCTTAAATAAGTTGATTTTTATGAGTTTCCAATGCGTTGGTAACTGTAACCACTTTTGAAGAAATATTCATCCTCCTCTGTAGAAGTTCTAGCAAAGATAGAAAATATAACACAGCTCTGCTGGTTCAGATGCATCCAAATGAGGTTGATTTTAAAAAGGTCAAGACTTTATAATTATTCCACAGAAATAGTAGTAAACCACAAAAAGTTTTTTTTTTCTTTTTTTTTTGTTTGTTTTTTTTCTGTTTTTAACTTCCTAGCACTGAAGTGGCACAAAGGCTGCCCAGTAGACCAGCCACTTATTTTCTTAAAATATTGTGCTTATAAACTATCTGTACAACTATTTAAACTTGCAGTAAAGAAAGATATTTAAAATGCTAAACTTTATGTACTCATACTAGGGCTGTTGCAGACCTAATTAGACACTTGTTTGTGAGCAAAAAATAATCACAATAATAAAAAAATTAGAGATAGGCTGGACCATATCAAGGACCATATCAAGGAAAGAAAGTTCAGGTACCTTGCAAAATGTAAGGGAACCTGAAAGTTTGGAAGGGAGGCAGTTTAGCCATCCACACCCAATTTACCCACCTTGAACATCTTGAATATTCTGTCCAGAAAGTCCTACAAAACTCACAGATATTCAGAGGTGTTAATTACAAGGGGGAGTTCAAACATGCAGAGAGAGACTTGTTAACTTGAAAGTCGAAAAAAAATATAATAATCATATATTTTTTTTTTTAAAAACAAAGCCGTGTAAACCAGCCGTGGGTGTTTCTCCCCTGCTGACAGAAGTCTCCTAGAAAGTTCTCTCTGCCCCCACTCCCAGCCCTGGATTCTGGCAGGGTGCTCCCACCTCTCGTGCCAAGGAATGGGCTGGGGGCCAGTGCCCGGCCCTCTGTCCTTGTGCAGAGCCAATTCCTGCCAGCAGTGATAAAAGGAGGGCCTGGATCCCTCCCCAGCCCTCCTGGCTCTCAGAGCACTCCCAGACACCCAACAGCTCTTTCCATCTTGCCTCCACCTCTCTGCCTCCTCTCAAAGAGCTGCAGCATTTCCATTCCCAACAGGCTGAAATCCCTCTCCCACTTCAGATCCTGGCACACTTCCCACTGACTTCAATGGGAACATTCATCTCTCTTCTCCTTCCTTCTCAGCCTGCTGTTCAAAATACCCAGGCACTCACCACTCACTGAATTAAACAGCATCTCTCAGTGTCTCACTGTCAAGCCCCAAAGCCACCTGCACACCAAAGTTTGTCCTGGCTTGTGGAGCTCATATTTTGACTCAGCAGCAGCTGAGCTGGCTGAGAACTGGGGGTCTCAGGTTCAAACAACAAAGCTTCACTTTGCTGTACCTCTAAGTGTGGTCCCTCCTCAGCCTTTACTCAACGTCTGCACCGTCCTACAGTCCACATCAATGGAGCGTGCACTGAACTTGTTCTGCCACCTTGGAAGAGTGCTAAATACCACTGCAGAAATAAAGAAATACCAGGTAAAACAGAGCAAGGTTACCTTTGGACTGACTCCAGCAGAACAACCAGCTTCACTGCCAACAGATCAGGGAGCTATGCCAGTAAAAAAAGAAGAATATCAACTCCAGTGCTCGCCTCAATATCCCTGCTACTGATAAAACTGGGTTTGAGTGGTAATGCAGCAGCCTGTCCTCTTAAAATGAACTAAGGGCTGGGGAAGGAAGCCTGCTTGGAGACTGAATGTCAAGAAGAGAATAAAATAAAATGCAAATCTTTTTTTCTTTCAGTAAAAGAAGACCTGAAATTTTAAAAAGAAAATTGTCAGGCAACGGTCCCAGCCAAGGGCAGTATCAAGAGTTCTAAAGTTAACAATTGTCTCTCTCTCACATCTCCCCACAGCTTTGAATAAAATGGCCCCACTTCTTTAGCATCTTTAGGTTTGTGTTTGGGCATGTAGCAGACAGTCTGCATCACCTGAGTACCAGGAATTTCTGTTTTCCCCCTCCCCCCCACAATTTTGCTGGCACTCGCAGACAGACAAGGCATTTGGGGTATGTCAGTACCAGCCCATCTCTAGTTATCAACAGAAGTTTGTGAGGCAAAATAGCTATTCTTATCTGTCCAGCAGCTGCTTCAAAGCTCTTTCTATGTTCATTCTGTGCCCAACTCTAGTCACTCCAAGGTCTATCAGATCTTCCTTCTGTAGATTTGGTAAATGTGTGCCATCTATTTCATTGTCCATAAATGTTTCTTTATGTTCACCTAAGTTTAGACTTTCCAACCAATCTGCCACATCTGGTTTAGTCCACAGGTGGACAGGCTTAGTTGTAAAAGGCTTATTTGAGATTGGCTGTTGTAATATTGAGGGAGAAGGAGACCTGCTGCGCCCTGTGGTCAAGCCAAATAAGTCCCCAGAAGGGGGCTGGCTGGGTAGGCTAAATACATCGGACAGAGTTGGAGAAGGAGATGAGGCTGAAGCAGAAGCAGTCAGAGGAGCAGGCAGGATGTCTTTATTAATCTCTGTTGGTGAAACCACAGGGCTGGGAGCGTGCCTTGCTCCTGAGGTCCTGCTGTCATAGTCTGGGGACCTGCTCTGCAGTGTGATCGGCTGGCTGGCTCCGGGTCGGACAGTGAAAGTGATTGTTGTACTTCGTGTACCTGAGACAGTACTCATGACTTCCGTGCTCCTGCAATTGCAAACAGACAGGCACAGTTAGAGCTGCTGGCCACCAGCACGGCCCCATCAGCACATGGTAATTACAGCATGGGAATGCTGGGGGAGTTTCACATTTTAACTAAAAGTACAAAAATTGTATCAGTAACTCGTTCCCACAAAACCAGCACCAATGGTAAGCCATAGTTAAAGAAAAAAACCTTTGCTTATGAGCAGTCCAAGAAAAAACACCTTCCAGAGCACATTCTCTCCCTTTTTAATACCTGTTTTTAATACCTGTTCCCAAGTTAACCCCTGGTTAAATGAGAAATACTGAGTGGAACAAGCACATGAGCACAACCAGGATTTGATCTTCCCTTTGCCACGTGGAGGGTTGGAATCCTTCAGTTCTGGCTTTATACACTAATATTATAGCTAATAATAGTAGTTGTGGAAGTTTCAGGAGCACTGGATTTTGGACCTTTGAGTTTCAGTCAGTGAATTTTGTAGAATGTTTGCAGTACTATTTGTTTATAGAATAAGCTGCTCTTATTTCCCTTTCTATCCATGCTTTAAACATAAAACAGTCCTTCTAAGGTGCCTGAAACATCTCAGTGTCTGTTTCCTTCCACAGAGAAATTATACTCTGGCAGTTTCACTACAAAATTAAGGAGACAAAATTCTGTTCCTCTGCATGACTGGAGGTGATGTGGCTGGGATCAAGTTCTGCCTAAAGAAAATGAGTTTCAGATTACGAATGAAGCAGGCATGAACCTCGCTGAGAGGCTCGCTCTGATGCCCACCCTGACCGGGTGGGTGAAGAAACACAACCCTCTGCTTCTGCCTGCTGGCTACAGAAGCAAATTTAGCAGGTTTGGGTCTGTTCATATCATCAAAGACTTGACCCCACAGCCCTTACTCCCATGGGAAGAGCAGTGCATGCACTTCAGGGTGCTCCAAAGAGCCCTTGGATGCCTGGAGCTCCAGTGTCCTTCACTTCAGAAATAACCTGCCAGCTGGGAAAACCTTCAGACAACCAATTCAAAGCACTTGCAGACCAAAGGAAGGGTTTATTTATCCTGGAAGCAATGCCATGGAGTCGAGAGGATGACGTGGCTGATGCTGTACTGAGGTTTCCAGCGCAGACCCTGACAGCAGCCCTCTGTTTCCGAGTGCCACACTGTCCCCAGGCCTGGCCTGGCCTGCCTGGGCAGAACTGAGGATGGCTTGGGTGCAGGATGTCAGATGGAAATGCTTCCATTAATCCAGCAGATTCACTGCTGTGCAGAAAACATCTCAAGGAGCTGAAGGAAAAGCAGGGAAATGGTAACATGGGGCAGTGCTACAAGCAGGTTATCCATCCCTTTCTCTCCCACTGCAGCCCTGAGCTGCTGACAGTGATTCCCTGGCTGGCTGCTGGCTTTGGAGAGCCCTGAGAGTGTTCCCTGAATCACCCCTGGGGCTCTGGCACTTCACCACCAAGGCAGAGCCCAGGGAAGTGCAGCTCTGCCACACCGACATCCCTGCTCCCGTCTCGGCAGGTCCCGTTCCAATAAAGCTCCCTGCCAGGAGAACAGCACCAAGAATAACTTCGGGGAGAACACACATCTAAGTCACATCGACATTCCCACTGATTTCCCACAGGCTGCTCCATGTATTTCAATGGGAACAGGGGGATCTCTTTGGAAGATTGGTACTTCACTTAAAACCCAGTAGGAACAATGCTTCCAGCACTTATGGCTTTGTAATTTAACAAAGAAAGGAAACACTTGGCAAGGTTCTGAGTGTTTCCTGTGATGTTTTTGGCGCCTAATGGCTCTCACTGTCTTCAGGGCTGGAGCTAAGCATTCTTACAAATAAAAAGTCTGTGGCAAGAGACTATTAAATTCTACCAACCAAGGGAACAAGTTATTTCCATTTCCTTTACCTCAGCATTAGGAGTCTCATGCTCATTACTAAGGCATGATATAATTTAAAACCAACAAAAAGCCTACTTTGAAATAGGTTGGGGTAGTGATGGCAAGAATGAGCTTTGCATAAATAGGGAAATGAATCCCTGATTTTTACCTGTAATCACCCTTCTACTTAACTTTCCTCTCTTGCAAATACGAGAAATTAGGGTTTTGTATTTGCAGCCATTGTTGCAAGATCAAATGGATGATGAAAATCCACCCTCTTTTATTCCAGGAATGAAAGATAATTTCTACTGCTTGACTGACAGCTCCAGGCTCAGTGCTTTGCAACTCACTGTTGCTTCTCCTCCAGACTGCTCCTCTTAAAGACTCCCTGCCCAGCCTTGCTCAGGAAATTACTGTCACTCTTCCATTAAATAAAGGATGATAAGACAGTGAAACAACCCCCCCAAAAGTAAACTCTATGCTCTCATTTGAAGCATTCCTTGGCTGGTGCTCCCTAGTTTTCCCAGCCCCATGGGCAGGAATACCCAGGGTAAGCAAAGCATCCCAGGCATCCTGGTCCTTTGCTTCCTGTGAGTCTGGATCAAAGCATTGGCTTCACACAGCTGCAGGCTGCAGCACGAGCTCTGAGAGCATCTTGCTTTTTCCAAGCCAGAGATTCAGGACTGCTGATTATTAAAATAAAACTCTGGGATAGTAATAAGATTTTTTAATTTTTTTTTTTAGCTGATTGCAGAGGTTTCAAAACCAGCTCAGTTTGTAGCCATGTGAGCACTCAGCTCTCTTGGCATGGGCACAGCCCTGGTGAAGCTCAGGGAAGTCTGGTGACACTCAGGGAAGTCTGCTCTAGCACTTCCAGCCTTTCAGTTCCATGCCTTTCACTCCAGGATTATTTTCCCATGTTCTTTTCCCCCTTTTCCACCTGCCACATCAACTGCATTCTTCCATGCTGCACTGTAATTATAACCCAAGGGAAAAAAACAAAGATATTTATGTAACTCCTATGCATCCTAAATTATAATTTATGGCATCTCCCTTGTGATCTGGGGTGCAGACACAGCCTTGAAACCATCATCTGTCAGGCATTTTATGGTTGATTGGTAGCCTGGTCAATAAGGAGCAAGCACATTCCAGCTGGAGAGCAGGCACGGTTTGTTGTGTTATGGGGTTTCCAGATTTTTAATAAGAGCAATTTCTTATGCCTTATTTGATCATCTGTTATCCTAAAGATATTAAATTCATATTAAACCTGCCAAACCCCAAATTTCATTTTAAAAAAGGTGAAAAGTCCCATAATTATTTTAAATAAAATTTGCTCTATTAGAATCAGCATATGGTGGTAATTTATAAACATTTGCTGCTGTGAGCCTGCACTGATTGCAATACCCATTATGTTGCCTCATATTAAAATCAAAATATATAACCTATATGTCACAACCATGTGGCCTCCAAGTATAAAAGCCATCAGCACAGCTTGTAGGCAAGAAATTCTTTTAAATTTTAAATTATATTTGCAAGATTCAAATTTACTGTTAATATCAGAAGCAAATCAGTGGAGCAGCTCCCATGGAAAAATAAAAACCCCACATTATTTTCAGCTCCTGGGAACCGTTTTACCATAGAACTTTCCAGAAGACTTTCTGGTTCTGACACAGCTTTTCCATTGTATCAAAGGAAAACTTCTTAAAAACCAAGAGAAGCAACAAGTGGAGTTCCTGTACTGGGGTACTGCAAGAAATTAAATTCCTACAGATCTCAGAGGCTGCACAAACCCCAAACTTTGCCTTCACCTCTTAATAATTTTACTTTGCTGTCAGAGGCAAATTGCAGAGCAGGAAAGCAAGCCAAGAATTGTCTGTTTTGGGGGCAGGTGAAGAACAAGGGCTGACGTGATGACTGGCAGGATGCAGAGCTCCTCACAACGGGGTTATTTTGGGGAGAAGAATCGAGAGATGCTCGGTGTCTGCTGCCAGGGAGGAGCAATCGTGAAGGTCTGTGGGAGTGTGTCTGTGCAGGAGCAGGAGTTTCCATGTGAAATGTCTGGAAAGCAGAGGGAAGGGAAGGGAAGGGGAGGCTGCTGGGCCAGGAGGCAGCCTCAGCCCTTCTCTGCTTGGATAACTGCAGGGAAAAGGGGAGCTGGAAGGAGAACTGGGGGAGCCCCACAGCTTTCAAGGACGAGAGATGGCCACAGGGCTGGTCTGTCTTTACTTTTAGCCTCACACAGGTGTGTAAAACTGTGTTAATCGTCCCTCCCCACCCCTCCACATCCCAAAATCTGGCAGAATCTGGCCACATCTGAAAAGCCCTGCCCCGTGTTTAGGTGCTCAGACACATTCAGCAATCTGATCTTATGTGCTCATGTTACCAACATATTTTCTGAGTATTCCTCTGATGAATGTGGCTCTTATTTCACCTTGAGATGACATCCTAGGTCCCATTTTGGGATGGCTACCATTTCTGGATTAGGATGACCTAATCCACACTGCACTGTGAGAAACACAGTCACCACCAAAGTCACTGAAATGCAATAACAATGAGTGAGCATTAAAAAGCAGCAGAATGTACAATACAGAATAGTCCATGCTTTATGGTTGGCACTTACTTCATGGCACTTCAGCATGGCCCTCCTCTGACAACAGCAGTCATGACAGCAAATAAAAATGACAAAATGGAATGACTGAAACACTGCAGAAATCACTGACAAAGCAAGCAGTCCTGTGAAATCGGCTGGCAAACAGTTAACAATGTGAAATGAGTCTAATGGGAGAGCAGCAAGTGAAAAATCAAGGCATTTATTTCATCCTCTGCCAAACCCAGACATCCTTTACAGTAAACCAAATGTAGGATCAGTCCCTATAAAGGACTCACTACTAAATTTTGTTCTGCCTTACCTGTTTGTGGAAAAACAAAAGGAACTTTTCCAGATACTCATGAAAAAAACTAATTCGTTGATGGCCAAAACCAGTGGCCAGTTTCACTTTTAAAACTTGTTATTCCAGCACAGTGCAGGTTATTCTTCCTAGAGGACTCAATTCCACAGCATCCTCCACACCTCCCACATTTATCATGAGCATTTCCCACCACCAGCAGTGATGCCAATGTGCCCCAGAAGCCACGGGATTGTGCAAACACAGCTGGACAAACACAGAAAATCTGGGAGTGTTTGGCCATGGGTCACTTTGGTGCAGTGCTGGTGGAGAGCAGCAGGAGCTGCTGTTCATTATTCCTTCTCAGTGCTCCAGAGGCACGCAGGGAGGGGGATGCTGAGTTCCCTGGGGGCTCAGCTACCTGTCCCTGGCAGCCCCCAGGTCTCTCCTGCCTCATCCACACAGCCTTTAGCCCCTGGATCTCAGGGGCTGGCGCCTGATGTCGTGTTGCTGTGTGACTGCCAGGTCACAGACAGAACAAACACTCCTCCTCTCTCCCAGGGAAAGCCCTGCTCTGCTCTTCCCCCAGTTCTTTCATCAGCTCCCTATAAAAGCCAGGGGCCTCTCGAGTGGATTTTGAGCCCTGCTGTATTTATGGCATTGTGGGGGACATGGATAAACCAGATTAAAACCTCTGTCACCACAGCTGATGGCCATAACTCCTCAAAGTTAATGGTGGCCAAAACTGGGAGTGGGATCTGGAGCTCTCTTCCTGAACCTTGTGATCAAACCCTTTAATTGCACTTTAATTAATACAAAGTAAGCAAGTGCATCCTCTCACTTCTGCCTCCTTTCCCTTCTCCTACTGGGCTCCTTTTTCCAATCCCATGGGCTGGTCACTGCCACTGAGGAGCAGATGGTTTCCAGCCAAGCGTTTCCATGCTCTATTTAAAAATCTTGAAGCTTGGTGTCTCCATAAGAACCACGGGAAAACTATAAATACACCATGGAAAATGATTGTTAAGCCAAGGTGCAGAGAATAAAAGCAAATTTAGGGTGGTTTTAATGTAATAATTGAGAAATGCTGTTCAGGAACATAGAATGATCTCTTCCTAACCCTCATTTATCAAAAACACACAAAGAAGGTGTTTTTGCAGCCTGCCATGACCCAACTATCTGTAGTTTAATTCACCCCTGTGCCATTCTAACAGGGCAATTGCCTTGAGTGAACCCCAGTTTTACATTTACTGGCTGTGCAAAGAGAATTCCTAGTGGGATTTAAGAGTCCAATCTGGTCTGTAATTTCATGTATGGCCCCATAAACAGATACATATTTTTAATTTCATCAGGCTGCCTGTGCTGCGAACACCGCCCAAGCGAGCCTGTGAACGCTGTTCCTATTTATAACACTTCCCAATCCCTTCCCTTGGCTGAAGGATAGGAACAGGCTCATTTATTATCACTGCTCTGTTCACAGAGCTAACGAGTTGTTCTTCAATTTAGCAGAATCTCTGCTTTTTTAAGTCAAAATTCCTTGGTCCCTTTCTAATGCTACCTCACAGGGAGGGGCTGCAAGCTCAACAATTGGTTGTCATAAGCTTTAGAGTATTAGGGGGAAAAAATATCAAGGAACTCCAGGAATTTTACCTTTGAAATTTAAACATTAGCTTTACACTTGAAATTTCCACTAGATGGTATTCCTTGGTCATAATATTTGACAGCTTTATGAAAAAACTGTGTCAGTCGTGCAGTCGGGCTAGAAAGGCTATAATTTATTTAACTTTTAGAGAGATAAAGCAGGAGTAAAAGCAGTGAAAAAAAACCACAGGGCTTCTGATTCCACAAGTGAACATCTCAATTTCTACCTCTCTGCCTTACCCTCGTTGAGATGAAAAGACACTGCCTGCAGCACCTTTTCAAACACACTTCCAGCACCTGTGGATTGCTGGCTCACTTCTGCAGTCTCCTGCATTACTATTCGCTTAAACAAGAAATCCTTAGCAACTTTTCCTGGTGGTTTTAGCAGCTTCAATCCAGCTCATAATTAAGAAGTAATCACATCAGTTTGGAAAACAGCAGGAAACAAATCCCAGAGCTCTTGTCTCCTGTCCCCACTGGGAATGCTGTGGAGGTGTCATTTTCTCCCTCAGTCAAGTGACAGCCAAGAGTTTTGCTGCTCTTTGCCACTGCCATCTTATCCCATTTTTTCCCTCCTAGCTCTTTTGGCACTGCCACATCCAGGATCCTCTCTCCAGTTTGTAAAGATGAGTGTTTGGGTTTACTTTTCAGTGAAGAAGCAGGATTGCAGCCCCACTGAAATAATGCTTTGGGTGGGGTTCCCCCCCACACCCCAACTGAGCCTCTGCATTCCAGAATGAAGACGTAGTAATTTGCCAAAGCTGAGTTAGAAAGCCTTAAAAACTTCAAGGACAAGAAAAAAAAGCAACATAAATTTGTAACATTAAGTCAGCTCTTCCTCTAAAAGCTAACACATAGGGCTACTTGTGCTTATGAAAGTTTGCTTTTCTCCACTGAAGTGCTATAGTTTTTCAAGTTTCCCTCACCCTTTATACCTTCAAAAATGTATTTTCACCAAAAAAGTATTTCTATTTGCTTGTACTTTTCATTTTGTTCTCAATAATGTGAGTACTTTGACATATTTACAGTGCATTGCAGTCGGTAGCCTTGGTAATTTTCTAATAAAACAGGGATTCTAAGGATCTCCACTGTAACCTGGAAATACCTTTCAGTCTAAAAATAAAAGCTGATAAATAATATTATACATATGAAGTTACAGACAACATGTTCATGGGGCTTAACAAGAAACATGAACAACATCTAGCAAAAATAATATTTTTTTTCATGTCTGAAGACTTTTCTGCAGAGCCAACTCAATTTCTGCTCCGTTTAGTCAAGTGCCACTGAGAGGAATTCCAGAATCTGCGTGTTTTATTCCCATTTCTCAATTCTAAAAATTGAATTCCCTCACCGTCATCAGTTTGATGACTTCCATCCTGCAGGAAATAATATCTGACTGTGTGATGCTGAGGCTGTGGATCACACTGTTTTCTGAATGAGCAATCTTTGCAATCAGCAGACACCCTTCCCTTAAAAACATATGATCTTCATGCTTGCAAAGTACAGCAGCTTTCCAAAGGCTGAGCTATTTATTATCCACTAGAATAACTAATAAAATTGACTTAGGTGGCATCGTTTTTTCAAAAAAAACAAACCCAGCATGGTGTTTTTGCAAAAAAGAAATATCTCAGTTTCCTAATAAAACTTACAAAATTACCTTTCTTTTTTTTTAATAACTGTGGATTTCATGATATTATGCCCATATTCCATACAGATGTGGTTTAGCAATAACATGGACAGTGCAAAGTTATTTTAACGAGCAGATCTCTGAAATACTTTATGCTGAAGTAGATTAGGAGGGATCTCAGCATGAATCAAATGACACCACACAGTGAATGCAAAGCAATCCTTGGCAAAAACACTTTTTACCCGTTTGAAGCCAAAATACCTCATGGGACTGAAGAAAAATTAAATTATCACCCCATTTTTAAAGGAAAGAAATTAAAGAGAAAAAATATTAAAGAAAAATCTAAGAAATTCACATCAAAACAACTGAAAGGTTTGTGCAAACCTTGAAGTTGAAGGCTGAGAAAGCTCCTGTCCTATCATGTAAGCAACACAAATGTTGACAGTGTAAGAAATCCTTGTTTGACACAGACTATTCGTTAAGCAAATACAGAGCACACTTTTCTTTAATCTATGTGATTTACAGAAGTTAGCAAAGGGATGAAAGAAAAAAAAACAAAAAACCAAGATCAAGCCTTTTTAGAAAATGATTTGGTTAATTACTTTTACCTTGTACTGAGACTCGCAGTTTTCGTTCCAGTCGGTGACTCCAATCCCTCCCCTGGCTTTGAGGATTTCTCTCTGTTCATTTGCTGGAGTATTGAGTTCAATTCACTAATGACATTAGCCTTGGGGCCTGAGAGAATCGGGCTTTTCACCTCGGGCACGTCCCCCCATAGCTTGGATGTCCTTTGGGGGACAACTTTCGCCAGGTTGGGCTGGGCACTGATGGGAGGCGGGGGCGGAGCGGGAGGAGGGATCACAAAGCTGTCTACAGTTTCCTCGATCAGCGCGTCCTTGTAAAGTGCATTGCTTTTGTTGATTATGGGCTTCATTTTTGGCTTTGGAGGTACTGGGGGTTTGTCCACCAGAAATGTTTGCCCATCTGCATAGACTGTACAAGTATCCACGTTCTCCCCCCCTTCCGAGGATAAGGTAGAGATGCTGGACACCGTTGAGATAGTGCTGGTTGTCTCTAGGTGATGGTCACTGCTGCTCCGACTGTCCACCTCCTCGATGCCAGAGTCGGTGACGTTGTCGAAGCTGTCAGGGGGTGGCAGGAAGGAGGCAGGCAAACAGTTTGAGAGACCCGCTGGCTTTTTGCCGTCCAAGGAGTTTGCTGGCTGGCTGGGTGAAGGGGTGCCGTTCTTCCTCTGCGCCATCAGGTCTGTGAGCGCCGAGCCGGGCGCCGCGCGGTCGTCGGGGATGTCGAAGCTGTTGGCAAACTCCAAGGGAGGGGGCAGCGGCTCGGTGAACAGGAACTCCTCGTCGATGTCCACCGAGGCCAGGGGCGGCGGGGGGATGCGGAAAGGCAGGATGACGGGGTCGTCCACAGAGCTGGCGGCCACGATGGTTTTGCAGGGAGAAGCCGGGGGCTCGGGCGCGGCAGGGACGCTCAGCTCGCTCTCCGCTTCCTCGCTGCCCTCCGGCCTCTCCGGCGGGGAATGTTCAGGGCTCGGCTCCGTCTCAGCTCCCTTCTCCTCCTCATCCTCGGGCATATCATCTGACTTTGCCGTGTCCACTGTGTGCACCATCAACAAGCCAGCTGATTTTTGCTGCGAGGTATCCACGATGTTTATCAACATGTTCTTCTTCTCCTCAGCCTTCTTTTCTTTCCCTGCATCCATCTCGTACTTGTTCTCAGTCTCCTGCCGTCTCAACAGGCCGCGGGTATTTTGCCTGGTGACAGTGGCAGTAACAGGAAAAGTTGTTTCCATGTTGGGTCTCAGCTTGGTGTCGATGTAAAGCGGTTTGTTAAGGTCGGTTTTGACAGTGTCCCCTTTGCCTGGAATCTGCTGCGTCTGCTCTTTCATGGCTCTGTCCCTGGCAGAGAGCGCGAGGGCAAGTGGCGAGTTTGGATCCAACAGCTTCCCTGTGACCGGGTGGACGTAGCTGTCCGAGCCGGGAGCGCTCGTGGGCTTGGCTGCCGCCGTGCTGTTGTCAGTACCTTTCGTTTTGGACGGAGCATTCAATGTCCTTGAGTCGCTCTGGTTGCTGGGCTCGCTGCTGTTAAAAAGGTTTTCGGGCTCTCTGGGGGCGGGGATCGGAGATGGCGACATGAGCTGTCTGAAACCATCCTCACTGCTGAACATTGCCTCCTCGGTGAACTTGGACTGCCTCATCCGTGGTGTTGGTGGGGTTAATCCAACGTCCTCGTCTCCCAGGTCTGTGGAGAGGAAGGCTGGGGAATTGCGCCTGGCTTCCAGCCTCTTTTCCCTGTCCCTCACGGCCCCCGCGATGGCTGCTGCGAACGGACTGCTGACTCCCAAGCTGTCGTCGGGCCGGAGCTGTCCGGGCTGCTCTGAAGACTGAGGATCGATCTCCATGCTGCTCCCTTGGCTGCTTTTCCCGCTGCTGCTGGTGGATGGCTCTTTGACAATGATGGTTGGGATTGGAATAGAGCAGGTCTTTTCTGGGCTGTCCTCCACGTTGGATTGTTTCACCAGCATCCCCTTCCGCCTGGCTGGCTTGGCTGGCACATAAACCGCTTTGCTGGCGATCTTGCCCACCTCGGAATAAGGGTTTTCTGGCATCTGGCCCCTCTTGCTCCTGAAATTGGCCTGAGCCGCGGCACTGCGGTTGTACAGGTCTTCCGAGTCCAGGGAGTAGCGGTCCAGCTCCCGCCGGTAATAGATCCCTTTGTCCCTTATCATCGTCCCCACGCTCTCGGGCCTGACCAAAGTGATTTTTGCACCTGAATTCTGGTTAAATGGAGGTTTGATCGTTCCGTAGCTCCGGGCTGTCAGGGATTTGGGGGAGTTGTACAGAGAGGGAGAAGGTGGCGGTGGTGAGGGAGGTAAGGACTGTGGTGGCGGTGGGATATCTTCAGAGGTGTCAGGCATCGAAAGACTCCTGGTAAACTTCAGCATAGGAGGGGCCAGAAACTGCCGCTCTTCCTCCGTTATTCCTGAAAAACCAGAGAGTGCATTTAAAACACTGACACATCCACCGGGATCCCTCACAGTGTTCTATTTCTCCATCCAGCCCAAAACTTCAGGGTGCATTCCCCACGCCGTGAGGAGTATGCAAAATTCCAAAAGAGGTCTTTAGGTTGATTCCCACTATAATCATTCTTTCCTGCTGGACATCCCAGGTGCCAGGATTGAAAAGAATGCTACAGAATTTTAATTAAACGGGTGTGTAGGCAAATGTTTGGGGTTTATGTTTCATCAAGTTGCTGTAAAAAAAGCAAATTTTAATTGAAAACTATTGCACAGGGAAGACATTCTGTGCAGAGGAGCTGCTTTTGCCTTGCTCCTTCCAGCTCTCGACAAATGCATATAATAAAACAACTCAGAATCCTAATGAATTTTTAAGATGCAATTGAAATTTAGCAAAGGGACTGTCAAGATCCTACTGGGGAAAAAAACCCATAATGTTGCATTTCGAAAGACGACATTTCATCATTACAAATATGGCTTTTAACACAAATAAACTGGGTAATACTGGGATAGTTTGAATGCTAATTTTACCTCAGCATAATGCATTTCTAAATTGCTAAAAGTCACCGCTAAGATTACTAACAAGAACAAAGAAAGCCCAGATTTGGTCTGCTCTTTATTTCTTTGTTGTAAAAGCATCTATTGCCATCATTTAAAATGAAAAAAAAAGGTGAATTTTAGTCCATTTGATCAACAGGATTTCTTAGTAAACTACATAGCATTACAATGCTTTCATCTCAATAACAAGGAAAAAAAAGGATATTTTGGCCTAACGTTCTGCAAAAGGCTTGTACTGATTTTTTTTTTCCTGGTTAGAGGGAACATTCTAAAGAAAATAACCAAATAATACTTCCATAGCTGCCAAATAGAATGTGGAAATTACATCACCTTAGACACAAACTTTTTCTCTCATGAGCTTTGTATAAAGATTAAACAGCCACTCACTGGGGTAAAGACGTCGGAGAAACACACTTTAGGAAAGAAGCAAAGTTACTAGAAGTATGCTATTAATGAACAAAACCATACAAGAGAGACATTTTACCTATAGATTTTTGTCTTCTCATTGTACCCCGAGGTATACCCAGAAAAGGACCTTGAGGGCTCCCTGGGACAGTGGGCGTCATCACAGCAATACCCTGTCTCTCATACATGGACTACAAAAGAGCAAACAGAAACCCCAACAGCATTAAAGTGTGAAAGTCTCTCCCACGTGGAAATAATGCCTCATCCATTACCCCTTTCACTGAGAATTCTTATGGAAAATCAAAAATCTGGGGGTAGTTTTGGGGAGGAGGGGGAGAGAAAGGGAAGGCTGGGTTTTATTTAGATACTCATGAAAGGACAGCAGCTCTAAGTGGAGTTTGTTGATATTATTTACAAGGCAACAACTTAAGGTGGATAATGGAAAAGTATGTCCAAAATGCAATAAAATCAGGGGTTTTTTTACCTGCAAAGTTTTGTAAGATTAAATTCTGCACTTGAATGATGCAATTTTGGAGTTCTGGCGTTTAGTTTCTAATATATGCTATAGTATTAATGTCAATTCTTCCCTTACAAAGCATTGGGCATTATTTAATCAAGGAATTAGATACATTAGTAGGAATAAAGCAGTGCTTCATGGCTCCCACTCACATTCATATCTGTAGCTGAGGGAAAACATCTACTAGAAGGCCGCTGTTTTATAGTTGCCACTCTGGAGTCCACAGTTGCATTGTCTGCAATTCTTGATGGCTTGGAAACTGGCACTATTTCATCCACCTTATCTGTAATATAAAAGCATTCAGTAAAATAAATATCACTTGTCCAAAGAAACAGAAAAGTTAAGTATTGCAAGGTCAAAGGAAGAGATTTACTTTTCAAAAAAATGCAAAGAAAAAGTTTTTTTGGCATTTTAACAAGGCAACGCTTGAGCATCATAAGTCGTGCAAGCCGAGCACTTTTTATTGCTGCTACATAACATGCATGCTTTAGTTTTAAGCCTGCATGCATTTAATGTTTACTTAGTGTGACTCGAAAAACAATCCTCTTCTTCAAACCTTCAAAATGTGAAGGGAGAATATCTATATAGAAATGGAAAGAAGACCTTTAGAAATAGTGAATCCGTACAGCACTCTTTCAAATAGAGATAAGCAGACTGTACTTAGTCATCAGAATTTCAGTGATATTTTGGACAATAACAAGTACTCCAGAAGTGCTCTTTTATGCCTATTCTCCTTAAGTAATCACAGCCTGATTTGTTCACACTCTTGGACTTGTAGGCTAGCACTGCTAACTGCATCCTTTCTTCAAATGAAACTTTTATATGCAGTGGGGTTTTTGTTTCTTTGTTTGTTTTTGGTTTTTTTTTTTAAACTTCTAATAACTGGACAGGTTGGGAATGTATTTAGTCGTGGTCAGAAGCAGACCAAAAATAGGCAAAGTCCAAATCTGAATGAGAACTTCAACATTTGGATTTGGGACTCTGATCTACTGCATGATGTGATGATAAAATACAGGGAAAAGTTTAATCAGGATATTCCAAAGCTGAGTGCTAGTATTAGCCCCGTCTCCAACTTTGGTCACAAACAAGGTTCATCAGCATTTAATACAAAATGTTATTCCCTCACACTGAAGACCTCCAAGTACAGTATAATCAACTAATCATTGCCTGACAGCTCCTTTTTTTGCCCCTTCTACTGATACAAAACCAAGGCACAGAGAAATTAAATCACTAGCCCAAGAGACCAGCAGAGTTTGAGTTTGGAATCTCCACTAGAATCACACCAACAGCTTTCCTTACTACGTCTTCCATTGCATTTGCTTGCCTGTATCATGTTAATTTAGTGTCTTTTCCTTTGAAGTTTCACCACAACTAGGATTAGTTGCATAGCCTGTGGCATTTCTGTGAGTGGAACACCTCAGCCTGGCTCCTAGGCTTCCACGACACGAGTCAAAGCAATGCTGCTTTTCAGCAACTAGCTCCACCTCCCAAATAATTGATTATTTGTCAAACAAGCATAGTTACTCCATTAGGATACTACAGACTTAAAAAACCCAGTTTTTTTGTGATCTAGAGCTAGTGTTACTATCCCAAGTATTGTATTTAGGGATTTAAATTTTACCTCTCACTGGAGAGCAGCACACTCAGGGCCCTGGATATTGATATGGATGGGAATAAGGCAGGAGGAAAAGAGCTTTTGATCCTGCTAAACAGTAGATCTGGTTGATGTAAGGATGATATTTTAAACAGCAGAAGAAGAGAGGGAAGAACTTTAAGCCTTTGGGTTAGGAAGAAGGTTGTCCTAGAAGTGGATATTTCAGTGTCACAGAGGGTCAGGGAGCAGGCAGGAAAGGAAAGGCTGAGCAGGACCAGTAAGCTGAACACTGCTGAAAACTGTCCCACAAGAATAGTGCTGCTGATTCAATTGAAGTTAGCATTCAAGTATTTTCACTGGTCTGCTTTATTTTTTTGTGGGTTTTAGATCATCCAGTGGAAGGAGAAAAGGAAAAAAAAATCCTAAAATCGTCACATGTATTCAAAAATAAAAACCAACTCCATGTCACATTTCATAAGGCTTTGTAATACAAACTTCTGAAAGAAAAATATCTGCACTTCTGCTCAGCAAAAGGCATCAAAAAGCAATGGTGTAACCATGAACATTTACCCTATACAGCAAAAATATGGCTGGACTGCAGAATGATATGCAGGGGATCTATCACCAAGAGCTTCAACTGGGCAGAGATTTCCTCTTAAGGCTCTCCCACCCTTGCTCTCATCCCAGAAGCCAAACAACTAATCTTTGGGATACAGAAAGAAGGAGGCCTTGCAAACTGAAGCACTCAAAATCTGCACATGAGAAACAGAAATATACCATGTAAGAAGTGATTCCCTTTATTTTGAACAGACACATGTAACCAGATACCCATTCAGACAACAAAAAGCTGCAGGGAAAGAGTGATGAGGCCATGACAGACACTTGGAAAAGCATGAAATTATTTGTTGGGGTGAAACATACATACCCTCCAACTGCACTGATTTTGCTAGACAATCCTAAAAGTCAGATCCTAGTGTTGGATCTGACCAAAATATCAGTTGGTACCAATTCTTAAAACCATCTACTATTTCCACGTGGGGAAAAAACCCCCAATTTTGTGTGAGTTTATTGCAGGTTTCTTGTCTGTAGAGAAGTTTTCAGTCCTTCTCACCCTATGGCTGCTCCCATTTTGCCACATTTAGCCAAAGCACTCAGCAATGGGAGAGGAGGGCGGGTTAAAGCTCGAGCTGCTTTGCAAGGAACTCTTTAGGGCTTCCTCGCATGGCACTTCCAAAGGCAGCACTGAGTTCCTTCTCTTGCTCTACTGCCCTTGGATGAGAAAGCAAAGGCAGAGTGGAGCTTGTCATTCTGGAGCTACTACAACAAAAAATGTGAGGCCACAGAAGCAGCCAGCACGTGGAGACTGATCCTAAATGGCAGCAACTACATGGCGGGTCCTGCGGGAATCGTCCAAATCTGAACACCTGGCCACGACTGCCCCACGCTGCTGGAGTGAAAGCACCACGTGAAACAAAAACATCCTCACTGCCTTATCCAACGTGCTCCTCAGGCCAAGGAAGTGGAGTGGCTGAGCCACAGACAGCCTCACTCAGACTCATCCCAGAGAAAGAAGACGTGTTGGCCAAACCTTCACTCGCCTGTGCCTCGAGCTGTTTGTCTCCACAGCACCAGAGTGCAAACCCCTCCTGTACCCGAACCACACATTCCAAATATATTCCTACTGGAACCATTTGTCAGGCTCACTGATCAGCTCTCCTCCCAACCTCCTTGTGACCTCAAAAACTCTGTAGCACACACTCCTAGTACCAACGAGAGGGGAAGCTCACAAGCTTGTGCTGGAAATTCTCTGAGGATAACTTTACAAATTACCCTGGCGAAAGAGAAAAAAAAGCCACAAAAAGGATGCAAAAATTGGCACCTGCTGTGAGGTGTGATGACAGAGTGGCCCAAAGAAGCCTGCCTCAAATGGGATTTTTAAAAGGAATGCAGCTGGATGAAGGTCAAAAGGAAGGAATGTGGGAAAAGCCTGCACTGGAGGTTGGCCATACCAGCTGCATTTCCTCCTTGAACCAGTCTTTTTGCAGAGTACAGCCACAAGCACACACACACACACACACACACACACACACACACACACTTTTATAGGAGCAATCTGTGGCTGGTTGGTAGATAACATACTCTGATGTGCTTTGCTCTGAATAACCTCAGTCTCACTGGAAGACAGGGAAGAAGAGTCTATGTCTCACTGGCCAGAGAGCATGGCTCAGCTGTAGTCACAGAAGAGGATTTTTAGGCCTACGATTATTCCCTGGCATTTTCCATAGAAACTGCTCTGCACCTTCCTGAGAAGTCACAACAGCATGTTGAGAGTCAAACACAGGAGCCATGCTACACCTGTGAGAACCTGTCCCCACAGCTCCAGGGGCTCCTGGGAGCAGCATCCTTCCAGAGAACTGTCAGGAATACCACATGTAAAAGCCAGTCTGATGCCTCTGCATGCATATAGCAATTTGAGTGCCACTATATTAAATTCCCCCGAGAGAGGCAGCACCAACAGATATAAAGTAATTTATTGCCAAAGTGCGTTTCCATCTGCCCTGTTGGGTTACCAATGGGACCTGTGCCCTGCTCAGGGTGCCAACCCTCAGGAAATTGGATGGCCTAAAGGCACAGAAAGTAGTTGTGTTTTATCACGATGTAGGTCTCGTCTCTGATGAAAAGCTCTTAATCACAGACAGAGTAGCACAGTACCCAACAGCATGTCATGACTTTTACGTTCTCAAGAGGTCTGGCTGCTAGGCAAGTTGCTTTTTTTTTTTTTCTTTTCTTTTTCTTAAATAATTAATATCTGTGATAATTACAGGGGACAGTCTCCTCCTAATAGATTTGTTGCAGGAGATGGCTCTTATCCCCTTAGAACACATTGCTTAGTGACTCCTGTTCCGAATCCCCAGACTCTCTCAGAGGAAAAAGTATAATGCTGCCCATCAAGCCACCAGATCCATCATCAAATGAACTTTGAAAACGAGAGTCAGGTGCCCAGATAGATCTGGTGGCACATCACTACACAGCCCCCAAAAAGAGAAATATGAGGTATGATCCTGGCAACATTACTTATTGTACGACATAGCCAAGACATGTGGATTAGCTCCACCGAGGGTCTTAGGAAGTGAGCTGGTGAGACCCACAGAGGATAAGAATGGTCATGATCCAGTACAGGCTATACCCCAACACCTCAGGCTGGCATGCCAGAAACACCAGGCAAAGACTGATCGAACACAGTTTGGGAGGCGAGTATTGCCAAGACCTCTATACTTACCACCAGGTCCCGAGTGCTTGCTCAGAGGGGGTGGGATAATGGAGAAAGAAAACTCAAAAAACAGCTGCCTCAAGAAATGACTTGTATTTGTAAGAAAAGCAATGAATGCCTGGCACAGAGTAAAAAAATGCTCGTATGAAGTTAAAGTGAAAGAACAGAGGCAAATGTTCTTCAAATACCAGCAGCACACATCGTTAACAGTGCAAATATAAACTACAAAATGTTAGACTAATCTAGTCAGCCAGAATACAATGTTAGCCAATGTAGGAAATGGTTGAACTCTGCCACCGATGGCCTTATGGCTAAGAATTAAAAGGACAGGCACATTAAAAAAAACCTCTAAAAATCCTATGGAGTAGTTATTTTTTCTTCCCTCCCCCTTTTGCCTGGCGTGGAGGCATGGGCAGCGAGGCCCTCTCGGTTATGGCTCTCTGCAGCCGGCCACTGCGACAAGGCAGGGTGGCCTGCGGCGGGTCACGAGAGTCGCTCGTCCCTTCGGCCCCTGGTAAGCACACAGTGGAGGATGCCACTGCGTCCTCACCAGTCCATGTCGAGGCACACGTCAACTCGACATGGGGGGTGGCTCTTTGGGAGATGCGCGTTTCGAGGACCTGCGTCCTCGGCTGCTTGAGGAAAGCTAAAATCTCTGACAGGTAGTTATGGATGGCTCTTGTGGAGGTAGCCACAATGCCCAGCTGCAGCTCCATACGGCCCATGGACTGGGACATGAGACCCATGGACTGTGCATGCTCCCTCTTGATATTTTCCAGCAGCTGCACAATCCTACTGTTGGTTTCCATCAACAGCTTCTCTCCCTCTGTTAGCTGGGGCTGCCCTCTCCAACCCCGATCCCTAGGGACAGGCTCAACACCGCAGCGCTCTTCATTCATCTCATCATTTCCCTCCTCCTCAGGAGAGTCACTTTCAAACTGAGGAGTCCTACTGAGTGACTGATCCCCGGGAGACTGTATGTCCATGGTGCACTCCGGAGTCCGCGCTGGCGTTTGAAATCCCTCAAAATCCTCCCCAACGTTGCTGTGCGTTTCAGACGAGGACAGCGGCCACTGCCAGCTCTCTGTGGTCCTGGCTGGCGAGTCTTCATCAGAGGCAGGCACCGAGGATTCCTGTTCTTCGGCCGGCGTGGACAGCGAGCTCCCTCGGTGATGGCTGGCTTGCCCCGAGGATCCAGGAACCTCCCCATCTTGCTCCCCAGTGACATCTGGCAATCAAATAGAGGAGCAACAACCACTGTATCTGAGGCCAGGCAGATGGAGGTATCTACATGCATTGGACAACACATAGAAAGAAGCCAGTTGGGAAGCCAGAGTGTATGTGTTTGGGCAAACGGAAGGGCGGACTAAAGTTTAGTGACTGCATTGGGCACGTGGCAATTGGCATCATTAAGCACTTTTGGTCTCAATGCACACTGTCCTGTACCCAGAACACACACAGCCATGCTGCATCCCAAGGCAGGAGCTACCAAATTCCCCTCAGCGTGACTGTGACAGGAAATGTCAGTGAACCTAGCGAGAAGCTCACCTATGCACTGCAGTGGTGTCAGTCAGAAATCCCTGGGACGAGCTCAGGGCCAAGGGTCCAATTGAGCTTCCTGGGGTGCCAGATGTGCTCCACCACTGGCTGAGGGCAGCCCTTTGTTGCTCTGAAGCACTGCTGGCTATCTTCACTTTTGTCCGACGTCTCACATCACCCCCACCCAAAATCTCTCCCAAATCAGTGCTGCAGCGCGACGGTGGCCGTCCATGGGATAATCCCGTGAGCAATGCCCTCCCCAACATTTGCCGGATTGTCCTTGCTCTCTTCTCCAAACAGTAGGAAATGCTATCTGAGGGCATTGCTCACCGGGATCTCTTTGTCTCCTGGAAATGAACTGAGTTTTGCCCTCCCCTGGCTACCTCTTCCCTTGCCTGAGGGTGTGTGGTGGAAATCTGGGTGCAAGCGCTTCCCCGTGGCAGCTCTAGAGCAAAATGCCCTCCCCAAGAGCAGGAAAGGCTCGGGCTTTTGCACCCACAGGAATCACCAGCTCACAAGGGAGTGTGATCTGCCCAGCTGGGTCCTGCACTTCTCTGCATTACATGAGGCAGTGGCTGGGACTCTGTACACTTTCTGCTACTTCAGATAAAAAAATGAGTCCACTTCTTTTTTTAAAAAAATTTTTGAGGGGGGCCAATTTGGTCACAAGAAATCAAGCTGAGGCAGTGTGGCTGAAGGAGGCAGCCCAAAGCCCAAAGCCCAAAGCCCTGCATTCCCCACGCTCAGGCAAGGGACAGCTGGGAGAAGCTCTGCTGTTGGAAGGGCTGTGACCCAACCCGGCTGCTGCTGCTCACACCGCAGTGGCCTGAGTGCCAGATCAGTGCCGTGCCTACTCTCTGGCATCCCAGCCTTGAAAAAAGCTTTTTGGGTGTTTTTTAAGGATTAATTTCTGCTTTTTTAAATACTACTCTTCAGACCTCAGTGGAAGCTGTAATCTTAAATCTGCAAGGTGTTGCTGAGGTCATGTTAAACCATACTTTTGGTTCTGTTTATGAATCAGGGCAGGGTTTTGTTCGATTTTTTAAAAAAAAAATTATTTCATGTGAAATATAATGACATGAAAGGCTTTTTCTGACAGACCCAAGGATCCCTTCTCCTATATCTCAATCCCTGTCTACCACAATGCGGTACTCATTATTTCTACACCCATGTGCCTGCAATATTATGGTGCTCTAAAAGGGATTCTGTGTGACTTCATTGAAAGATGACCTTTAAGTGCTAAAATAATGGATATTATTCGTGCATTTAGCATATTCACTACTTCAAAGTATTCACATTCAAAGTATTCATATTCTCTCTGTGTCTGGCTGGACTGTCCAGTTGCATGTTTTATGGAAAGTGAGGATGAAATTGTATTTGTAAAAAGGCATGAGCTCCTTATGGAAATGAATTTTAGGGACAAACTGTCATGCAATCATTGGCTCTTCCACTCCATGGAGATTCGAAAGGGACTATACATGAACCTAACTAAGAACTGCTTCTTCCTTGGCAATTCTTCTCCTGCTTTGTCTAATACAGCCATAGCTGCATTCCTTCATTAGCAAAGCTTTCTTAACAACTACAGTGTAGGACCATGAAATTATTTCTCAGCATTTTCCTACTTGAGTACACATGAAAAAAAAAAAAAAAAAAAAAGAACAAAAAAACAGGGGACCTACTTTTACCACACAAAGCAAACACACATTTCAGTTAAAGTCTATGGAATCGGAGTGAGGTAAGGGATCATAAATACTCATTCTGGTGGAGCCACTGGTCATCCTGAATGTCTTGGCATTTCTTTTGACTTGTCAACTGAAAATTCCCATATTTGAAAACCCCATTTAGCTGGCAAGTGTTCTAAAGAGAGCCCACCTAACAACTGGCAAGTAAGTAGAACCAAACTATACTGGAAGTCAAAAACAGAAGCAAAATGAAATCAAAAAACCTCTAAACTCCACACTGACTTATGAATACTTCTGTCATCATTCTGTTATCACTGTGTCTAGTTTGTTCAGATTCAGGGGGACCAAAACACATTTGTTATTTGTGCCTGTCTACATATTTGCCAGAGGCTCATGAAGCAAAAATTTCTCTGAAAAAGAGCAATAATAAATTTTTGTAAAATTCCTTATGTCCTATGAAATGTTACCACTTGCCATCCTCCTAATCAGTCTTTTCAGCCTTTCAGAGCTGAAAGAACAGCATCTGGCAATCAGTGACCAATGACACAAATGACAAAAAGTAAAGAGTCTGTGAAAACCCCTGGGCAGAAGGTTAACTGCGGAAACTCTTGGCGAATACTTCTGAATAATGAATACATGCACAGGCTTTGGGTTAGGTTGGTAAACTTGGCTGGCAATGAGAAGGAGGAATAACCATCATTGTTATTTGTAACAAGGTGTTCAGCATCTCTCAGCAACTCTGGTTTCTGGAAGCTCTGGGAAGCATTGGCATGGGGCAAGGGGAACCGAGGGTGTGTTACAGCCATGGCCTTCCACAAACTTTCCTTCACTAAGGAGCAATCAAGGGAAAATTGCCTGGAGGCCACTGGTTGACACCACCTGGGTGAACGTGTGAGTCTCTGCCCAAGAAATCCATTCCTTGGTGACTGAAAGTCACCCTAAATTCCAGGCAGATCTCGGCGAGGTTGGTTGCACCAGTGCCTAGGCTGGGGCTGTGGGAGAGTTGTGCCAGGCACAGCAGGGGCACTGCAAAACTGGGTTCAGCCAGAAACTGTCCTTTTGCTTGAACAGCTGACAGAGTGACCTCAACTAACTGCCTTTAACTCCTTGGAAAAGGGGTCACTTTCCAAAAAAAGAGAGGGAGAAGCCACTACAACTGTGAAGTCAAAATTGGCCATGGATCAAACCATGCACCAGCTTGGCTGACCTCACTTGGTTGTTAATTTGCTTTAAAAAAAAAGAAATCTCTTTCTTTTCAAGCTTTAAATAGAGTGGGTACAAAGAAGCACAGCTGGCTTCCTTGGGTGTGAAGCAAAAGGAAGAGGTCACTGATCTTTCTAGCAATTTCCCCCTGCCACACTATGACTACATGCAGCATTTTGCTCACAGTGATAGATACGACTTACAGGCAAAATAGGTCACTTTATACCAAGCAATAGCAGCCATCAAACCTGCAGCCTCTAAGGTTCACATTCCTAACCTCATGTCTCTTGCCCTGCTGGGGCAGGACTTCCATCTCCATCCCTAAATGGCCAAGGAAGGGACTCAGGAAGGAGCATGCAAGTGGGCTAAAGGGAGCAGAAACATCTGGAAGTCAGTGACCCACTGCACTTCAGCTTTAGTGTTTGATCATTGTGGGTACTACACAGCTATTTCCAAAATCCTCTTGGGATCCACAGGCTTCTGAAGTCTGTTTCTTCTTTTACCTCAGTGACTCTTTTGTGTTTAAGGAACAAAAAGAGATCTGGTATTGAGGGGGCCCATGCAATAGGAACTGGTGAGTCTCCACCAAAGTCCTGGCTATCTCCCTTTCTCCCCTGTTGGACAGGTTCTCTGTTTCTGCAGAGGAGCAGAATCTGCCAGGCAGATTCTCTGTTCCTGCTGCCTATCCAGGTGTTTCCCTGGTCTGACATGGTGGATCAGCAGGTGCTCCTGGAGGCCACAGGAGAGCTGCTCCAGCTGTGCCTGCAGGGGAGAGCTGTGGTTTGCTGCATTCTGTCCTGAGCATGCTGATCAAAGCCAAGTTTATTCCAGCCTTTAGGTTCATGAATATGTCCATTATTTTGGAGCACTGCTATTCCGTGTGGTCTCCTTGCACCACAATGTTCATTACCACTGAGAGTCCTTCGTGTTGGTCATTAGGCATTTTTAGGATTGTAGCAATTACTGGGTTGAGATACACAGAGAACTACTGAATGATTGATTCAGCTGCAGGGGTAGAGGACTGAGACAGAGGCCAAGAACAGAGCAGGGCTTTGGATATACACAAACTTTAGAGACATCAGAAGTATTTCTTTAACTTTTGGTCACTGAAGAACATTTGAGATTTATGCCTGTGTTGTGCCTTACCTGCCACTTGGACTGGCAGCTGATCCCTCCCCTGAGATGTGCTGCTCTTTAAGAAGCCCTCCTTTTGAAATCCCACCATTCCTGTTTCACCTCTGCTACCGGATCGTTGCCTTTTCCATTATCTTTCCTTTTCAGACTGCCCACCAGCGGAGCTGCTCGGGAGGGCTGGGGCACGGTCTCTTCCTGCTGACAGACAGCTGGGTGGAGATGTCCCTTGGCCACAACAAGGGGGCCAGGAGCTCAACAACAGCGGGAACACAGCGGGGGAGCTTCCCGGGCCCTGCCTCTGCTGCTCTGGACCTGGGCCTCTGTCTGTATCTCATCATCCCTCCTGGGGTGGGTGCATTTCTCAAACTGCTTAGGTACCAAGGTGATAGGTGCCTTGTAAATACCTAAGATAGATACAGACAGAAACTGTACCAGGCGCATTATGCAACACTTCAGACAATGCCAATGGCACCTCAGTGCTGTAGGATCACCCACCTGGTCCAGCATCTGCAGCCAAATACTGGGCACATGCATTTTTCCTTTGGAAAAGTGATGGGAACACAGGACATTCATTCTTCCTTGGTGGCAACAGGTTTGGGCACTCAGCCCTTAGTGTCAGGCACTGCACATGCAAGGGTTTTGTTCCATCGCCTTCCCTAAATACGAGTTTGCAGGTTTAGTTTAATTTCCTTCGTTAGC